CATGAATGTTTATTGGCATTGAATGTTTTTAAGGTCACATTTAAATTAATAGTAATGATGTAGTTTTGTTGTCATATGAGACATAAATATGAGTAGTAGTAGTGAAGTAGTATTACTGCATCACTGCAATTGTTTGCTTAAATGGATTTAAACTCACCCCCCTCCATTAACTATTAAGACGTGCTATTATTTGTCACGAAGGATGAAATGAAGTTGACAAGGGTGAGAATGAGTCCCTGCAGTTCATAAACTATCACTTATCCTCTGGAATATTAAGCCCATTCAAAACGGCCACTCACGGCCTGGAGTCAATTTCACCTCGAGCCTCAGAGGGCTTACGGTGAAGTATTGCACACGGTGGGCATCAGCAGCTGGATAAAGAGTGAGGAAATAAAACGACCTGCTCTCAGCGAAAGTTGCGGCGTGATCCCCTGACCCTGGGCTGTGAAAGAGCGATGGACTCCTCTAATCTAGAGGGACCTTTAGCACGTGGATTAACCTCAGCCGAGACCACGTTTTTCACAGGCAGGCGGAGGAGAGTCGGCCAAATGAGCTCTGACAGGGAGAGGAGCTGAGCCCAATTTAGATAATCCAGGTTTTAAAAAGTGTTATTTGTTTTAACAGATCTGGCAAATCTGGTCCCTATACCTCCATTTTCTTTGTCTAAATGAAATGCCACTGCCACACAGGACACATCCCTTATTGTTTGGAAAAGAAAATATTTCTCCGATAGAGCTGAGAAAAGAAAAGATGGTCTCACTGCTTATCTTTCATGAATAGTCCACCCCACCCCTCAAGCACTTCACCCACCCACCACCACCTTCCCAGCGTATTGGTTTACTCCTGCCAAAAATTTAATTCAATCCCACTAAGTTGTCCCAGCTTTAATTAAATCGACCAAAAGCCTTGGCAGGAATTCATCGACGTTCTCGTTAAAGTGAACTTTTACGCAACTTTCACTAGTGCGCTGCTGAGATCTGAGAGGACACCTTCTCTTTCACCTCCTTCGAGTAAAGTCAAACACAAACTAATTTAAGTTTCCGCAGACAAATGAGTCCAGGTGACGACCGGAAACGGTGCCTTCTTTAGTTTACGTGGGGCCGCCACCT